CTTTCAAAGTTTAATGTTAAGTTAAAAAATCAAGAGCCAGCCCTGCTGGCCTAGTGGTTAAAGTTTGGCGCTCTCACCAATTCAGTGGCCTGGACCACACCATTCATCTGTCAGTTGCCATGCTGTGGATAGTGGCTCACACAGAAGAACTAAAAGGCCTTACAACAACTAGGATATACAACCACGCACTGGGGCTTTGGGGGGGGGGAATCAAGACAGCAAATTATACAGAATATGATTCCAATCCTATAAAAGTAAAACATGTACACACACATATATAAAGAAGAAAAAGTACTGGCAGGAAACATACCAAAATATCAACAGTAGTTATCCATAGGTAATGAAATAAGAAGCAAGTTTTTTAAACTTTATTCTTTTCAAATATTTAATCAGGAAGGTGCAAAAATTTCAGGAAGTATTTACAACAGAGATACTTTACCAAACATCTGGCTACATTTCCACTATTATAGCTGTCAATGTAACTCCTTATTCTTTAATAATTTGCTCTTTACAGCACTTCAAATTTTGTCTAACTTGGCTTTATCCCATCTTTTGTTGCTCACATGTTTCTTATATATTAATTCTGCTTCATTCATAAGCCTATAAGTGACTAAAAAACATCTCAAAATTTAAAGGCACAGGAATTAATTTTTTTAAAGCTGAGATTATATCTTAAAATGCTCCTTGTTCTTATCAAATAAATGCAAGACCAAAATAAAATCTTCTATCTTTCCAGAAGCTACTAAACATTTACATGAAAAAATATTACCAATGTAATAGCTTGATCAGAAAGATGTAAGGAAGAACTCAGTAGTATGGGTTAAGAGTGCCCTGTATGCATATGTATCTATGTGCATCACTTTTAACCCACACTACTGAGCTCTTCCTTGCACCTCACTCTTTGATTAGTTTCAACTGACAAAAATTGAGAAATAACTCTCATTTCCAGATGAATCACTCATGCATTCAGTATACTGCAAATGAAAATTATGTATTAACATGTTAAGAAAATATATCAAAACAATAAGAATATCGAAATCATAGTGGAGATCAGGAAAGACTCCCAAAGAAAGCTACAGTGAAAAGCTGAAATTTGAAAGATGAGGATGAACTAGGTAGATGACATGAGATAGCGGTCAAAGAGGGTCATTTTTTTCCCTTTTCAGATGTGATGCTTACAATAAAACCATAACAATATTCCTCTCTGAATCTCTACAATGTGACTAATTTTCACACCAACCTCAAGCTCCTAAAATATTTTTATACCTGTATTTTATCTCAGTAGCCAAATTATTTTATATTTTTAAAACTCTCTTACCACATCACACACAAAAAAAAAATTCCACAAGAATTAAGATTAAAATACAACAATTATTAAAAGTAACAGAAGAAAATATAGAAGAATGTTTTCTAAAAAAGGTGAAATGGAGAGGGGCCAGCCCCGTGACTTAGTGGTTTTAAGTGCGGTGCTCCTCTACTGGAGGCCCGGGTTCAGATCCTGGGCACACACTGACGCACCGCTTGTCAGGCCATGCTGAGGCGGCGCCCCACATACAGCAACTAGAAGGATGTGCAACTATGACATACAGCTATCTACTGGGGCTTTGGGGAGAAAAAGGGAAAAAAAAAGGAGGAAGATTGGGGGGCTGGCCCGGTGGCGCAAGCGGTTTTCAAGCAGTTAAGTGCGCATGCTCCGCTGCGGCGGCTTGGGGTTCTGCACCGACGCACCGCTTGGCAAGCCATGCTGCGGCAAAAAAAAAAAAAAAAAAAAGAGGAGGATTGGCAGATGTTAGCGCAGGGCTGATCTTCCTCAGAAAAAAAAAAAAACAAGGTAAAAACTACACACACGGTGCTTATTTCTAATTGCATAAAGAAAACAAAATTGTTAACAGCAGGTACCTCTGAGGAACGGGACTAGAAGTGAGGAAAGAGTAATTTTCAATTTTACTCTAAATAATTGACTTGAGGAAAGAGTAATTTTCAATTTTACTCTAAATAATTGACTTGCTTGAACCTTTTATAATAAGCATGTACTGCTTTTGGAATTTAATTTTAAAACAAGGAAAAAACACTATTTATTTTCTCTGAGGGCTGAGACTAAAGTGATTTTTGTCCTATTTCTTAATAATTTTCACTATTTTCCAAATTTTCTAGGAGAAAAGAAATATGTAGACATTTTAAATCTGAGAAACTTGCACTCCAAAAACGTGTATTTTATTTCAGTGGTGAAAGTAGGTTTTATTCCCGAAAAATAATTTTTAATTTAACAGTTATGGTCTCAGAAACTTGGTCCTGAGATTCCAACCTCTTTCAGAAAGCAGTCTTAAATCTAAGTTTGGGAGTCTAACATTTGCTGTAGAAGCAATTATATGTAAAACTTATTTTAGAATAGAATATTAACTAATGTTTATTAAGCACTTCAGCACTGCATTTGCTAAGTCCGTTACCTGCATTACATCATTTGCTCTAAGTAGCCCTATGAAATTTGTATTATGTTGTCGTCATTATTAACCCCCATTTTACAGAAGAAAAAAACAAGTTTTGAAAAGAATGTGTATCTTGCCCGCGGACAAGTAGAAGAGCCAGGATTCAAATCAGGTCTCCAGCTCCTCACCACTAGGGATTCATGGAATGATAAGTACTAATGTACCTCAGAGATAATAGGCTAGAACTCTGAAATCCTGCACGAATGTTCAGACTGACCACTCTTAATCAGGTTAGTGATCCTAAAATGAAGAAGTAGTAAAACTCAATTCTGATCACAGAAGAAGTATTTCTTCAGGGCAATGGGGGCTATTTTTTCCTTCTTTTTCTGCTTCTATCAAGGTACAAGAAGGAGACAGGGGACAACTCAGATTTATAAGTAACTTAAACCCTCCCTCCGATTAGTCTGGAATTAGCCCTCTAACTAACTGAAAGGGCTTTTGAAAACACATTGATCAGAACCCCAAAGCTTTAAAGCTTGAACAAGGCCGAGTTTCAAGTTTTAATCAAAAGTAGAAAATTCAGAAAGGCAAAAGAAATGTTAACTTCAAATATTAGAATGATCAATATTGACAGATTAAACATAGGAAGGATTTAACAGTACCTACTTATTTTATCCTTAGCTATTTGAACAAATTCTTTTTAAAAAAGTATAATTGAAAGTTTATCCTTAGCTACCTGAAATAGTTCTAAGTTTTCACTTTAAAAAAGTATAATTGAAAAGAAATATACACCACTGTTAACCATGTATACTTGGAAACCTGCCTTTCACAAAGATCAGAGAACCATAGGAATCCCTATTCATTTGTTTAGTAGATATACGCCAATTCCAAACTTACTGTTACTTTATGAATTTGGGTTTGCAAGGTTAGTATTAAATGTCACAAAGCCCAGAAGAATAACTCTCTCTTTGGATAATGGTAAACCAGGAATCAAGGCACTAAGGGACGCAGAATATCCAGGAACTCTTCCTTAATAAAAGTATCTGCTTATAGAAAGAACTGGCAGAGAAGCTGGCATCAACAGACCAAGTTTCACACCCCAACATTTCTATACCTTAACCCCTTAAATCTACATATAATACAGGTTGAAAACATTTTAAGGGTCATTTTTCATAATGCAAATCAGTGTTCTTGGCTGATTGCTAAAAGATTTAAAAGCCAAGGATAAAAGAGTTGCTTTAAATCAATACCCTTAATAGGAGAACATGAACAAAGTTTTTCATTTATATAGACATATGTAAAAAATATACAGAAGTTAGTATGAGTGTGTTTTACAAAATACCACAGAGCTTCTGGCAAAGTAGACAAGTTCTAACCTGCTTTAGAAATTACTATTCACTGCCTTCATCTCAATCTAACTTCGATGTTATTCATTTGGATAACCTTACAAAAACAAAACCCCCAGAGCAAATTCTTGTACATTTCAATATCCTGCCTACTTATAAGAGCGGAAGAGTCAAACAGAGCAGGGGAAAAAACGTGACGTGCACAACCTTGATCCAAAACACAGCTCGTCGTAGTCTAATTTTAGGCCTAACCATTTTGATTGTCTTTTTACAGAGGTTAAAGAAGAAAACAAAAAAGTAGAGCTCACTTGTAAAGTAGAACTGAGATAATTATGGGGGTTGGCATTATTTATCAAGGAGGAAACAAATCATGCTCACACTGCACAGAGTAGTCCCATTAAAACTGAGACATAAGGATGGGTACAACCTCACAACAACTGACAATGGCAATTACTTTCACACTTCAGTTCTTGGATGACTTTACCTTTAAAGAATTAGTCAAAAGGTTGAGTCCACCGAGGAATTTGTGGCAACGTTTTGTGAGTGTTTTAAAGAAAGCCAAACATGGTGAAAAGCCAACCTTCACCTAAGTTACCTAAGAAGCAAATATTCACCTCCTGGCTGAAGATCAAACAAGAATCACAAAAAGATCTGCAAGTTCTGTTTTTAAGGGGAGGCCCTGAAACCCTCAGAAAACTATACTTTTCCACTAATGAGGAATATGGAAGAGATTAGAGATTGTAGTTTAGAAAAGAGTAAGGGACTCGAGACAATACGCCTGAGCAATGAAACTAGGACGTACTGAGGAGTAGCAAAGAGGGGCTGGGATTCAGAAAAAGAGGAAAAATCGAGGAAGAAAACCGGAGACGTCTGGTCGAACACTAAAGTAAACGGAGAAAAGGAGGAGGCTGAAACGCGAGGAAGGGAGACCCAGACAGGCAGAGCCTGTGGCGCGACACGGCTCAGGGCAGGGCTGAGTCCAGGAAGAGTTAGACCTCACCAGCCCAGCAAGCTTCCCATTTTGGGCTAAAGCCGAAGAAGAAAACAGCCCTAGGGAGCAGACAATGAGCCACCGCCCCAGGAGCCGCGGCCCCGGGCACGCAGGTGGCTGCTTCCCCGGCCCTGCGCGGGGCAGGTCGGCTCCCGGGCCGCTCGCGCCGGCCAGGCCGCGGAGAAGGAAGGAAGAAGGAGAGCGACGGCCCGCGCCCCGGCCTGGCTGCACACTTACCCAGGCGAGGAAAGGTCCCCGCCCCAGCGAGGCGCCTCCGTCCGAGCTCCCGCCGGGCTCTGGAGCCGCCCCGGGCAAGCGCGCGGCGCGGGGCGGGGACGGGAGGGAAGAGGAAGCGGGACGGGAAGAGGAGCCGCGCTGGAGCGCAGCCGCTGCTACCGCTAGGCCGAGCGGCAGCCGAGCCCCGCGGGCGCCGGGAGGGGAGGGCAGGGAGCCTTCGGCAATGGCGACGGCCCGGGCTGGAGGGGAAGCGGAACAACCACCGCCGCCGCGCGTGGCCACAACCCTGGGGGAGGGCGACGGCGGGGAGCGGGCGGGGCGGGGCCAGACGCCGCCCTCCCGGCCCGAAGGCCGGAGCTCCACGGGGCGGAGACGGGCCCCGCCTCCCAATGGCGGGCTCGCGCAGGGGCTGCTGAGACTTGTAGTTTGAAGATGTGTGGGGCCGCTCCTGCTTGGTTTGGGTTTTTTTGGTCTTCTTTACATTGAGAGACAGCCAGTCCCTCATTTAATTCAGCATTGTCTCCCGTCAGGTCTGGGCCAACCAAAGATGCTGACAGACGACTGCTGTTACATGAATCTGCTCCAGGACATTTGTTTCTGGGAATTTAGGCATTATCCATTTTGCTGTTTACCTACAAACTCTAACTATATTTTGCTGCAGAATTAAGTCCCACATCCTTGCAAATTAAAGCCTTCATGTTTTATCCATGGAGGAGTTCATCCATGTATTCACTAATTCTACAAATATTTCAGTGTCTAATATGTATCAGACACTGTCAGGCATCAGGGATCCAAGGAGTGAACACGAGTCACTTTGCCTTTGTGAAGCTTACAAATATGAAAATACAATAATTTAAAATAGTGATATCTGGTATGAGGAAAAAACTGGGGAGACTACTTTGAATAAGGCGGCCAGAGAACGCATCCTTAAGGTGACATTTAAGCTGAGAACAGAAAGAGAGTCAGGAGAAGCACCTAGAAGAAAGCATGGCAGGCAGAATGAGGAAGAAAAGGGCTTGCTATGGTCAGTTAAGGTCTGTGTAGCTGTAGCTTAGTGCAAGAAGGATAGCACAGATGAGAAAACACTAAGAGTAGATAAGATTCAGGTCAGGAACCATCTTGAATGCCATGGTAAGAGTTTGGGCTTTATTCCAAAAAGCTATTAAAGAGTTTAAGCAAGGAAGTGATGTTATCTGGTTTACACTTTAAGATCACTAGATTGCCATGTAGAGAATGGAGTAGAGAGACACAAGAAGGAAAATGAACTAGGGAGGCAGTAATCATGACTGATACTAGGGAGATACCAGTAGAAATGGAGAAAGGTAGCCAGATTGTTTATCTATAAATGTAGAGCAAAAAACTCAATTGATATGGAGAGTACAAGAGAAAAATGAATCAAGGAGCAATATGGCACACTATTAGATAACCTAAAAATAGTCCCATTATTAAACACACAGAAATGCTGGATTAAATAAAACATCCTTTCAAAGGCATAACTAAGCTTTCAAGAAAGAAAGAGGAATACCTCTGACAGTCTTCCAAACTCTACACTCAACCCAAAGAGGGAACAAGAAACCAGAGTGGTAAGCAGGGCAGTGAAGCCATGGTTGTGTTGAGGGTATCTACTTATCTCTGAACTCTCTATGCTTTTACTGGCTGCACAGGAGATAGACCAAAGACAAGGCCTTGTGCCTATACAAGGAGTTGGGACTGTGATCCTGCATAAGGCTGGGAAACTCAAAGGGCTATACTCTCCAATAACAGAGTAGGAAAAAAGAAACCTCCTCTATCAGCCCAGAGAGACAAGCAGACATTTGTATGTTTTAGCCTGGACTTGGCATGCAGGGGGGAATAAAATTTCCCTTTAGAATTCATAACCACAAACTTTCCCTCACATGGGTTTGAAAGTTCAAATTTATAGGACCTACACTGTCCAGGAAACCTCAAGTTAAGAAAGTGGTTCCAGGCTGATAGTGCTTGGAGGCCTAGAAGAAAAAAATACAAATCCTCACTGCACAGGTTCACTCTCAACCCAGGTCTGAAAGGATTTTCACAGATAAACAGGATTTCAAAAGCTAAACATAAGCACCCAAAATGTAATTACAATACACCTGAGAAAATAAGCCACCATGGGTGAATCAACAGAAACCACAAACAGAATGATGAAGCCTATGACCTGTAGATATTGGAAGTATTGATTACAGAATATAAAATAAGTTTATTAAAATGATTGAAGTAAGACAGGAGCAAGAAACAAGATACTACATTTAAAAAATGATCAAGCAGGCCGGCCCTGTGGCTTGGTGGTTAAGTGCGCACGCTGCGATGCTGGCGGCCCGGGTTCGGATCCCGGGTGCGCATCGAGGCACCACTTCTCTGTCCATCCTGGGGCCGAGTCCCACATGCAACAACTGGAAGGGTGTGCGGCTGTGACATACAACTATCTACTGGGGCTTTGGGGGGAAAAAATAAATAAATAAATAAATAATTATAAAAAGAATATAATAATTGAAACCAAAGCCAATATTTGGGTTAAATAGCAGATTACATACAATTGAAGACAGAATTAGTAAACTGGAAGACAGATCTAAAGAAATTACTGAGAGCAGCCCAGAGACACAGGATATATGAAAGAAAGATTAAGAACCATGGTGATAGATTGTAAAGGTCTACCATATGCCTAACAAGAACTCCAGCAGAGGGATGAGAGAAAACAAATGAAGCAGTATATGATGAGATGATGACTAAGAATTTATCAGAATTGATTCAAGACAAGAACATTCAGATTCAAGAAGCAAAGTGAATCCCAACCAGGATAAGTAAAAGAAATCTTCTCAAATACAGCAAAGTGAAACTGCAGAATACCAAAGATGAAGCAACCAGAAAGACAACACACACTGTACAAAGAAACAACTATTAAAATTACTGCAGATTTCTCAATTGCAACAATGCAGAGTGCCAGATGACAATGGAAAAATATTTTCAAAGTACCAAGAGAAACAAACCAAATTCAGAAGTATACACCTAGAGAAATTATCAGTCATATGAGGGTGAAATAAAAATATCATCAAACAAAAACAGAGATCTACTAAAGGAACTCCTTAAAAAGATACAATTCAGGAAGAAAGTGATCCTAGAAGTAAGGTCTAAGATGCAAGAAATCAGATAAATAGCTAAACCTATGATCCTATCACTGATTAGGACAATCCTGAAGAGCATACTTAGTCCATATTATTTCATTTTCTCACAGCCTATCAAACCCTACATTCAACTACCTGCAGAAGCATATTTTGTAAGTTGGGGGGATAACACAGATAGGTGTTGATCACCTCACCCTAACTTCTTTATCTCCATATCATATCAATCAGCATTAATTATCAAAATATAGAAGAGTAGCTTGAAATGAAGAGAATATCTGACTAGGATAATCCTTCAACTCATTATATTCTGAAATCATTAGAGCTGCAATAGATCCTTCCAGTTCCCAAGCCATGTATGTACCACCCTCCATGAGATCTAGTTAAATAATCTAAGTTCCTGGTAGAGTGGCTCGCTCGCTCGCTCTCTCTCTCTCTCTCTCTCTCTTAAGAGGTTAAATAGTACCATGTCCTCCTAACTATATTCCAAGTGGTCTGTTGATGTTACCGAATTTTAACTGACATACAATTCTATTTCAGTGCCACTATATTAATCCCATTGTGAAAGAAATCTTGTAAAACATGGAATTCTTTCTTTCTTATAAGAAAACACTAAACAGATATGAAACTAGACTGGATTGAAATTTTAGTTATTTTAAAGATCTTTTAATATTTCTGCTTTACGGCATTGAGTTGCCTTTTTCAATATTTAAGTTCTCAAACACACCTTCAAAAAGAACTGTTATGACTAGTCAAGCCATATATGTGAAATTGTAAGAGATTTATTCCCATAAAAACATCAGAATGTTTTAGGACATTAAGCAGTGATAGCACATATAAACATATATCACATCGCATTACTCTACATAAAACAAACAACTGGGGCCAGCCCTGTGGCCTAGTGGTTAAGTTTGACACGCTTTGCTTCGGTGGCCCAGGCGCGGACCTCCACCACTCGTTGGCAGCCATGCTGTGGCAGTGACCCACATACAAAATAGAGGAAGACTGGCACAGATGTTAGCTCAGGGCAAATCTTCCTCAGCAAAAAACAAACAAAAAAGAAACAATGCCAACATACCCTGGTTTATTGGATTCTGTTTTGGAACACACTTGCCCTTTTATTTTTTAATTAGCTTATGGCACTTACTTTATTTACTAATGTCTAAAGAAAAATAGTAAATCACAACATTTTGTTTAAAAAAAAATCACCTTAAGATATAAAAAAGATTTTTTATAAAGGTACAACTTAATAAAATATACTCTTTAAAATGACAATCAGAATTGTCTTCCTGACAAATTTAGTACTAAATCAGAAGTAAATCGTAGTACTTAAATCGTAGTACTTAGTTTCATTAAGCCCTCTGCCAATTCATATATTCAAAATCAGTATTTTAAAATATAAAAGGAGAATAGAAATATTTTAAGGAATAATCAATTTTTATATTAATATTTCTTAGCTGTTTAATGATTTTCTTTGAAACTCTGGATAAATGACTTTAATATTTTCATAAAACTAACGTTTAAATAAACTCTGATTCGTCCAAATTATTTTATTCTTATTTACAATGATTTTCTCAATTTTTAGCTTAAATTGAAATGTTTCTATTCACAAAATGAGAATAATTTGTCTCTAATACAAAAAGTATTCATTTTTCTAATTCAATGAAGACAAAGTCACTTCTCACAAAATAAACATTAATTGAACAGAATTAAGTTTCCTCTATTGGCACTTGATGCTTGAGGATTATCAAACGTCTAGAAACAGAGCACTAAACTTTGGAATTAGTTGAAAATGATCCAAACTTTCTTCTTGCAAACATAATTTTAGCCATAAACGAAAAGACAAAAGTAATGACCTAATTCTAGAAGAACACTTCTAGTCACAAATGAATAGGTCTTATTTAAGTTTATGGAAAGCATTCAACTGCATAAAACTTATAGGGAAAAATGGCCATATTTGAAAACAGCCACAAGGATCAAAGTAGAACACAGGATGGTAATGAGCAGAGTCACAGAACATACTAAAGAGGTATGTATAGTCAGTCCCACTGGAATCTGTAGAGTCACATTTTTATATACCTAGGAGAGATGGAGACAGAAGTTAGAGACATTTAAAATGCATGTCCTAAGGTGAGACCACTACTTCTTTGATTTCTAAATTAATTTTTCTTTTAAAGATCTTTCAGTCAATGCTACACTACATGTAACATTATTGTTTGAATGATTCTTTTGGAGTCAACATTTCATTTAATGTAACAGAAAGACTCAATTCCCACAATAATTCTTAAATTCTCATTAGTTTTGACTTTTTCTACTTTTTACATAGAGTTGAATATATTCTTTTAAAAAAATGCCAGCTATACCCCAATGTCAACCTCTATAATCAATATAAACATTTACTTCCTCTTACTACAGTTCATATTAGAATACAGAATTCTAAGTCGAAGCCCTAAAGGTAAAACATTAAAACAACAATAAACCTAAAGTATCCATTCATTCCTGTTTTGCTGTTTCTCTCCCAAAATAGCTTTTAAAAGTTTGTTATTCACAAATTACAGAATTGAATGTGTCCTTTCCCGTTACCACAACATCCAATAAGTTGTGATACTGACTAGCAATGCAAATGTTCTATGTGCTTAGTTTCTATTTTCTATATGGTTTTGAAGATACAGGGGTTCAGTTAGAAACTCTGGGAAATTTTATGGTTTAAAAATAGGTTTTTAGAGCCAGTCCTTATGGCCTAGCACTTAAAGTTCAGCATGCTCCACTTCAGCAGCCCACATTTTGTTGCTTGTCGAGGAACCACACCCCTCGTCTGTCAGTAGCCATGCTGTGGCAGTGGCTCACATAGAACTAGAAGGACTTAAAACTAGAATATACAACCATGTACTGGGGCTTTGGGGGAGGAAAAAAAAAAAGAGGAAGATTAGCAAGAGATGTTAGCTCAGGGCAAATCCTTCCCAGCAAAAAAAATAAATAAAAATAAACAAAAATTTAGGGGCTGGCCTGGTGGCGTAGCAGTTAAGAGGCTCCGCTTCGGCGGCCAGGGGTTCGCAGGTTCGGATCCCGGGCACACACCAATGCACCACTTGTCAAGCCAGGCTGTGGCAGTGTCCCATATAAAATAGAGGAAGATGGGCACAGATGTTAGCCCAGGGCCAATCTTCCTCAGCAAAAAGAGAGGAGGATTGGCATTGGATATTAGCTCAGAGCTAATCTTCCTCACAAAAAAATAAAAAATAAAATAAAAATATATAAATAAAAATTTTAAAAAATAGGTTTTCAAAACATTAAAATTTAGGTAATTTAGAAATACTTTTATTTTTGGTTTCTTTCTATAAATACCTGGATTATAATTTCACATCCAAAAAAAAATGTTACCAATACAATCTGTAACAAAGTGTCATCTGAAAATTATCTTTCAAAAAATGGTGTTTTGAACAAACAAGGCTTAGTGTAGATCACCACCTTAGTAATGGTCACCTATTTTTCTGGTATATATAAACGAGAAAATGTCACACAAAGTAAAGAAAAAAAATTCAAAATGTTTAATTATAATCTCTTATTTCAAGTTACATGGTCTTAAAGAGAACTGAATTCAAAATGTTTTACTTATTTTGTAGCAATGCACACTACCAATTTTTAAAATCAATAAATCATAAATAAACACTAATCATACTCTTGATTCACATAAGAAAATCAAATGCAAGTCTCCAGATGTATTTTAAAGTTTGAAAAAAATTCAGATACCATACAGGAATGGCAATCTACTCAAAAGCAACTCTACGTTGCATAAGATATTAGCACAGCCATACATCTTCCCAACTGTCAGTTCAAAGAAAGTTCTCCAACACAAAATAGTAGTGCTTTGTAGTAAGTTTTCCCCATATGTACGTAGTTGTTTTTTGAGCTAGCTGGTAGACGGACTTCTAAGCAACCACAAGGAAAATACTTCAAACCTAAATATCCTCAATATCACATATGAATAAATGTGCTTTATGTTTATCTGACTGACAGTTACGTTGTCTGCTGGTTTAGGTTTTTCAGTTTATTTTACTTTTGTTGCAAACTCATTTGACTCATTGTAAAAGTTGTAAAAATGATGACATGGAGTATGCCATTAAACCAAAAAAAGCAGGCCTTAAAAGGAATTAGGTACAAAAAGAAACACAAACAGATACTACAAGCATCAGTTAAAAGACAGCTCATAAAAGAGGAACAAAAGGATAGAAAAAAAAGAGGGAAAGAAAAGAGATGTGTTGTACAAAGACTTACCACTCTAAAGAGAGGAAAGAAGTAGACTGTGTTAACTAAAGAAGCTAAGTAGAAAACTGTAGACTCCTTAGACAAAGCCACTGTTAATGAAGTACTAATATTTACCTAATTTAATAACTGAAAACAAGTTGGGATGTCAAAACTATAAAAATAACTTGAAACAGCCTAAATTTAGATATATAATAGCAATACAACTGTTTAGAAACTTTATCACAGTTGAAATGATACCACTTGAGTTTTATTTTCCTTTTTTTCACTTGCTCTGTATAATATAATGAAGTTAACTAATTTATTTTGTTATTCAAAAATTAGTAAATGTTCTAAATAAAATAAAGTTTTATGGATAAAGTAAAACCAGATGGATACACCACTGTTTTTCTTTGCCATTCCATACCTTTAAAAAGCGTATCGGCTATACTTAAGCTCTGGACCAGTGAGGCATGGGATTACCCCTAAATCTCCAGCCCTCAAATTAAATGATTCTATGACTTCATATAAATGAGGAACTACTGTTGCCATCAGCAGCAAAGAAACATGAAAAACAAACAAAAAACTGCTTTATATGGTAGAATATAAAATGCTGATCCCTTAAATGTAGCAGAAACATTATAGAAAGTTTAAAATGAGGCAGCATGATCTAAGAACATAAAATAATAACTTACTGATTTATATTTCATATTGTTCCATTGGCAGATATCCTTATTCTTCAAATCACAAGGAGCTGCCACTTCTGACTGAGCCCAGCATTTCAAAATTGGAAATTCTGAGAAAAAGTGGTAGAACATCACATCAGAAAACCTGTATCTGGACTGAAGGCTAAGCCAGTCTTTCACGTTGGGATATGAGTATTCAAACATTTTAATATATGACGCATATGATTTGAATCCATCTATCACATGCTGTTCTATTTCAGCAGCCTGTTTTAAGTGGCCTGCCTAAGAAATTATAAAATACAAAGACTGCGCAGAAGCTGAGCATGACTTCTTCACATGCTTAAATCCCGTAACACTAGGGGCCACTTTTTTTAAAATTTAATTTAAACTTTTTTTTGAAGTATAATATATATTCAGAAAAGTGAACAGATCTTAAGTATACAACTTGAAAAATTTCTATAGAGTAAACCCACCCACATAAAGAGCACTCAGACCAAAAAACCGAATCATACCAGAACCCCAGATGCTCTCTCAAGTGGGGGCACTTTTTCAAACTTCATGTAGGGCAAGTAAAAGGTACCATTAACAGAAACAGAAAACTAGGTTGGATGAACAAAGCCAACATAGTTGAACACTTTTTTATTTTCTCATCATGAAATATATGATGGTAGCAAATGTATGATTAAAAACTTCCTGTCTGCCAGTCTGTTACTGACTTTTATAAACATTCTAATCAGCCCAAATTTGGAAACACAAAGAAACAAAATCTGTAAGGGGCTTCTTAAAAAAAAAGTCTTGATTCCAGGATGACTGAAAATGGCAAAAGCATAGTTTTTCAATTTACTCAAATCCACACATAAAACCAAAAAGAAAAATTATACACAAAACCAAAACCTCATGGGCAACATTTACAACCAAACTAGGTGATAAAGTATCCCCTCAAACATCAAAATACATGCAAGTAGAGACAAAACACCAACAGCTACAAGTTCTGCAATATCAGCATGAAGAAAGAGAAACAGCAAAGGGACAAAGAGCATCAATGGCTGAAAAAAGAAACACACCAGACCTTATACGCCTACTCATAAAAGAACACAGCACCACCTATAGTCTTGCCAAAAGAATCAAATCTGAATCTGACCACACCTCTGGAACCAGCTGCCAATTTCCAGGAAATAAAGGGTCACCTGAACTGCATGAATACAATCACCAAAACCCCAACTACAAGAAACTCTACAGGTCAAATGACCCAGGTTCTTCAACAGATAAATTTTAAAGAACAGAAAGGGATAGAGGGGAAACCTGTAAATTAAGAGACTTAATGGAAATAATAAATTTTTTTAATTGGGCAAGACTAAACTATAGTAGCTAAGAATGCCCCCTTGGGTAATAAAAGTATAAAGAAACATAAGGAAGTGATTAAAAGTCAGAATAGTGGGTTAGTCTTAAATGAAAGGAAGAGGCTGTGATTGGGACAGGACACATGGAGCTGCTGCTAGGGTGGCTGGCAAAGTTCTATTTCTTTACCCGGGTGGTAGTTACAAGGGTATTTGTCTTATAATAATTCACTAAACTATATATTTGTGAAGTTTTTCTATATCTGTGCTTTATTTTACAATCAAAAGTTAAACAGAAAGAAAAAAGAAACATGCTTTTGTCATCCCTGTCCTTGACTTCAGACTTGCCACCATATCTTTATTTTTATTTTCAACCCTCAGAAAAGACTTACAACCCTCACCTTGGTCACAATACATCAATAAATCAGGGTTATTGACCACAATTAACGTTTCTCCATCTTTGCTATGTGGCCGATGATAGCGGTAGTGCACAGGCAAAAAAGCTTGGAAACAATCAATGCACTGCGAATCTTGTCTGGCATAAATGAGAACTTCAGATTCCTTGGACAAATAGTTGGGAGCTTCCATATTAAAATTTTCTGAAATCATCAATGCCTGTCAAAAAGAAAACAAATATTAATCCAGAAGAAAAAATGAATAAGGAGTATTTACAAAACAAAAATAAAACCAGAAGATTGCTATACAGATGAACAGAAATGTCAAATTCACCCCCCTTATAAATAATTTCCATTCCCCTTCCATCCACAATTTTAAGCAGAAAAACACAAGATGTGATCTGTGTTTAATAAAAAAGTTTGTTTACTAAAAGTAAACTGAGGAAATTATACTCTGGGGTATGAAATTTCCCCATAATAAAAATTATTTCTGGGGGCCAGCCCCATGGTGTAGTGGTTAAGTTCGGCACGCTCCACTTCAGCAGCCCGGGTTCAGTTCCTGGGTGTGGACCTACACCACTCGTCGGTGGCCATGCTGTGGCAGGTGACCCACATACAAAATGGAAGAGGATTGGCACAGATGTTAGCTCAGGGTGAATCTTCCTCAGAAAAAAAAATTCTTTCTACGTAATTTCCTTACCAACCTTTGTTTAGGCGACAAAACAGGTACCAAGAAAAGAGAAATTTTGTGAATAAATATAGCATTATCCAATAAGTATGAAAAAACAGTTAACCCAGTATGGGGTTAGAATGATTGGTATCATTCTGGTAATTTCCTGTTCTTCAGAGAAGCAAGTAAGATAGTAGTGAGTAAGATAGAGCACTGTGGTCAGGAAGTCAAAGCAAAGGTCAGCACTCTTTCTATACTGGGTATAAAAAGTTAATGGAAAAAATGGTAAATGATTCTTTAAAAAAATATGGTAAAAATCATTTTAAAATAAGTATTCTACACCAAAAGTAAAAATGTACATGTGGCAGAAATTAGTCTTAAATTATAACGAGTGCATTTAGATATATGTATCCACATATACATACATATTTATGTATAAAAACACATATATACACACACACCCACACACATATATACACACATGTATTTAGGCATTATATACATAATCTGTGTGTGGGTGTGCATGCAGCAAGCATCCTAATTCTCTTATTTGACAGTGACACCAAGTGCTATATTTTTTCACATGTTGTTCCTTCTCTGTTAATCACAGGAGTAACAGAACTCATCAGCAAAGGTCAAGGAATTATATAATATTATAAGTCATAAGGAACCTCAGAGGTGATCAGATTAAACCACTGTCCCAATGAAGGTATTTTTCAAGTATCCAGCCACTGCTTGAATACTTTCAGTGACTCGAAGGGAGCTCATTACTTTGAGTCATCTCATTTTATCTACTGTTAAAAGGTTATTCCTTTTTTATAAATAGAAACTTGATGATGTGGCCTATAACAGTCACCAAAATCGTCCCTGCTTACAATATCTGCAATACATCTGTTCCTTATTTCACTAAGGGCCTCTCAAATATCAAAAGGCAACCATGCTGCCTCCACTAAGTTTTCTCCTTCCCAAAGAAATATTCACAGTTCTCTCAGTTTCTCATGACACGGTTTCCAAACTGTTCATCATATTAGTTGCCTTCAGAAACACTCTGGGAGTGCAGTAAGCAGTGCTACCTTCTTTAGCCAAAAATTGCATTAGTTTTTTTTTAGCAGCCTTATTTCAATGTGATATATATCTATATATATTCTTTTTTTTTAATTAACAGACTTTATTTTTTAGAGCAGTTTAGGTTTACAGAAAAATTGAGCAGAAAATACAGCATCCCCATACACTCCCCTCACCCATTCACAGTTTTCTCTATTATTAACATTAGTGTGGTACATTTGTTACAACTAATAAGCCAATATTGATACATTATTATTAACTAAAGTCCATAGTTTAAGTTAGGGTTCAGTCCTTATGTTGTACATTCTATGGATTTTGACAAATGTAAAATGACATGTATCCACCACTATAGCGTCATACAGAATAGTTTCACTGACCCTGTGCTACCTACTCATCCTTATATTTTTCACTGGAACTTTCAGCAGAAAAGTTTAAGTAATTCCCATCCTATTTTTTCACATAATTGACTTTTTACTAATTAAATGCAGGGCTTTAGATTTATCCCTACCAAATTTTATCTTTCTGGTTACAGTCCATTTTTTCTAGGCTGTTGAGATTTTAATTGAAACTCCAATCTGTCAATTAACATTTAGGTAACATTTATGAATTTGATAATTATGTCTTCTGTATTTTTATCTAAAGATAAAAATCTTGACCAGGAGGATACAAATCAAAATAACACAGAGCCCAAATTTTTCTATCTTGTCAACAAGGATGTATATATGACCTGATAATAATAAAGGTAGCTTTCTTTGAGTATTTACTATGTTGCTAGGTATTTCACTAAGTGGCTTATATACATTATTTCCTTTAATTTTCACAAGAATTCTATCAGGTAGGAACTATTAGCTCCATTATACAAAAAAGCAAACAAAATATCAGAGTGGATAAACAATATAGCTAGCAAGTAGAGGAGCCAAGATTTAAAGCCAAGTCAAACTGACTCCCCTATTCAGTTGGGTTAAACAATATAAAAAGCCAGTATTTTACTAGTTGAAAATTAAGCATGATAAGTAAAACTGACATAAAGTATATTCCTGATTGTGCTATTTAAAATTTATGATCATATTATGATCTTCAGTTTCTCTAATTATTGAGTTGTTTTGTCTATTTTTTGTTTATTATTCATTTTTCCCACAGAAATGAAAATATAACTTCCCAAAAATTGAGAATACCTTTTTATATATAGGGATATAATGAAAATGAAGCAGGTAAAAACAGCAATTTGGCCTTCCAAGAGGGCTCTGTTGGTCAAAGGATTATTTGGTGATGGTTCAAAAAATTTTATGCCTTGTATCTGAATCTCAAAAATCAGCCTTATAAGCGGTTTCTTCCTTTTGCAGGTGATGAAAATATTCTGGAATTAGATAGTGGTGATGGTTGCACAACTTTATGACTATACTAAAGACTACTCAATTGTACATTTCAAAAGGTGAATTTAATGTCATGTGAATATCTCAATTTTTAAAATGAGGATAATTATTTTTTTTAACAAACCTCAGCAGAGACCAAAATCCATTTTAAAGCAAGATCCATTGAGAACCAGCAGAAGCTAATCCACAAACAACAATTTGAGGTCTTAGAACTGACAGGAGTTTTGGCTATGAGTTTCTTGAAACCCAGTTACAATAGGGAAGGGGGAAACCTTGTACACGTAGGTACACCAATTGACAGGTAATCAACAACTCAGACAGTTGGAGGTGTGTATGTCACTTTAGATTGAAAACAACAGAAAAACATTTTTGGAGATCACAACTTGACAATCAAAAATGATCTGGAAAATGGCTGGATGCCGGTAAATCTCCCAAACATGTGTCAAAACCATCAATGCAATCCCAAAAAGTCCAGTGACTATATGCTGATCTGCGAAAATCGTAATTCATTATTCCACTTTCACCACAGATAACAGTAATAGCATGTTATCAGGAAATTGAAATTATGCATTGAAAATTAATCCTAAAGCAACACGCATTGGTTAACAGACATGGACTTATACTTTTTTATGACAACATTCAACTACACATCACAAACCACCATAGCACACTTAAATGAATTAAACTATGAAATTGTGCCATACCTATAACATTTGCCAGATCTTTCTCTCATGAATGAGAGCTCTTTCAAAAAAAACAAAACATTCCCCAATTAAGATATAGTAATTGGTGCCTCTGAACAACTTATACAATCTAAAAATGTAAAACTTTATAAAAATGAAATGCATAATACTTTTCTGATACTGGGATGTTAATTCTAACAGCACATATTTTTTTTATGATCAGCCTGACTAAAGGTTTATCAATTTTATCCATCTCAAAGAACTGGCTTTTGGTTTCAATGTTTTTCTCTATTGTGTTTCTATTTCACTGATTTCTGCCACAATCTTTACTATTTCCATTCTTCTACTTACTTTGGTTTCATGTGCTCTTCTTTTTGTAGTTTAAGGAGGCTTAGCTGAGATCACTGATTTGAGATCTTTCTTCCTTCTAAAATAGGCATTTTAGTGCTGTAAATTTCCCCTTAAATACAGCTTTAGCAGCACCCCACTAATTCTGTTTTCATTTTTATTCAGTTCAAAACACTTTATTTCCCTTTTGATTTACTTCCCTTTGATTTCTTCTTTGATTCCTGGATTACTTAGAAGTATGTTGTTAGTTCTCAAATGTGTGAGGCTTTTCCGGAGATCTTTCTGTTCTTGATTTCTAATTTAATTCCTGTGTATTCAAAGAACATACTTCATACAACTTGAATTCTTCTAAATTTACTGAGACTTGCTTTATGGCTTAGAATATGATCTATCTTGGTAAATGTTCCATGTACAACTAAAAAAAATGTGTGTATTCTGTTGTTGGGTGGAACATTCTATAAATGCCAATTAGGTCAAGTTGGTTGATAGTTTTGTTCAAATCTTCTACATCATTACCAATTTTCTGTCTACTTATTATATAAATTATAGAGAGAAGGGTACTGAAATCTCTAACTATACCTGTAGATTCGTCTATTTCACCTTACAGTTCTACCAGTTTTTCTTCATGCATTTTGAATCTCTGTTAATAGGTGCATAAATGTTTAGGATTATTATTTCCTTCTGATGAGTTGATCCCATTATCAAACTGACCTTCTTTAGCTCTGGTGATAGTCTTTGCTCTGAAATCCACTTTGCCCAATATTAATATAGCCACTTCAGCTTTCTTTTGATCAATATAAGCATGTTGTATCTTTTGTTTTAAAATTTAAAGATCATTTCTTGTAAGCAATATACAGTTGGGTCTTACCTTTTTATCCAACCTGATGATCTCTGTCTTTTAATGGGGATATTCAGATACTTATATTTAATATGACTATTGATATGGTTAAGTTTAAATCTATCATCTTGTTCTTTGTGTCTCACATCTATTCTTTATTCCCTTTATCTTCTTTCTCTGCTTTCTTTTGGACTAACTGAATGTTTTTTATAATTCCATTTTATCTGCCTTGCTGGCATATTA